CTCTCTCTCTCTCTCTCTCTCTCTCTCCTTTCCACACTCACCACTCTCAAGTCTAAGTTCACAGGAGCTTTTGAAGCAGCAGAGATTCTGATGGAGCAGAATATTTCTAGGTTTATGTTCAAACAGTTACAATGTCATATCTATATGCACCGTGAGTGTCTCTGAGTAGGTGCTCTTTGAACTGTGGTCTGCAGCAAATCCCCCTAGAAAGTTGGTCTGGGGTAGCTGCTAGCTGGAGATGCACAGAAGCAGAGGGAGATTGGGTGACTTCGCAGAGGTGTTTTCCTCTATAAAGGAGCTGTTGCTGAAATTCTGATTATCAGAAGAGTTGGAAAACAATTGAAGAGATTTATAAACTTTTCAATGCTGTTCATTTAGTAATAACTTTGTCTCAGTAAAAAATAATCCTCACTGCTGATTGAGCAACAGTCTAACAGGTGTCCTTCATCTCGTTCACGGTAGATGCAGGGGAGTAGGAGAGCTGCTTCAGCAGCAGTAATGACAAGATGAGTGGAGGTGTGTACAACCCTGACATGAGTGGAGGTGTGTACAACCCTGACATGAGTGGAAGTGTGTACAACCCTTACATGAATAGAGGTGCATACAACCCTGACATGAGTAGAGGTGTGTTCAATCTTTACATGAGCAGAGGTGTGTACAACCCTTAGAGCTCATGTTGCCTAGCCCATGTACAGCAGGGTGGACATGCTTTCTGCAAAGGGTCGGACAGCAAGGGTCTTGGAGATTGTGGCCCACACGATAGCTCCTGTTGCAAATGCTGCCTTCTGCCACTGGAGCACAAAAGAAAGGGCGATATGTAATTGAGCACGTTTGTGTCCTGAAAACATCATAAAAACTGATGTTTTGATCTACATACAGTAGCTTGCCAAGCTTTGCTCCTCAGGCTTGGTGATTTAACATCATGGCTTGCAAAAAAAATTTAATAATTGACAAATAATCTGCTTTTATTTACTTTTTACTGCTTTTTATTTACTTATTGTATGTAGGTGTAGGTATGAACACCCATGCAGAGGTCAGAGGACAACTTGCAAGTGTAGGTTCTCTCCTTCCACCATGTGGGTCCGGTGACATGAACTCAAGTCATCAAGCATGGGAGCAAGTTCCTCTACCTGCTGAGCCATCTTGCCTGGCACAAATAATCTGCTTTTCATTAAGAAATAAGAATATGAGCTGGGCAGTGGTGGTGCACTCCTTTAATCCCAGCACTTGGGAGGCAGAGGCAGGCTGGTCTCTGTGAGTTCAAGCCCAGCCTGGTCTACAAGAGCTAGTTCCAGGACAGCCTCCAAAGCCACAGAGAAACCCTGTCTCAAAAAACAACAACAAAAAACCAACCAACCAAACAAAAAATAATATATACTTCATTTGTAATTTTTATTTTTAATCTTCTGTCTGAGAACTTCATATACGAATACTATGTACTTCATTTGTATTTTTGAAAGGAATTTACTTAAAAGTATAGTAAAAAGTCTTAAGTGCAAATGTAGTGAAATGTCATAATTTCAATGAAATTTTGTATGTGTGTGTATGTATATACATGTTTGTGTATGTTCAAGCATGTGCAGTTGCATATGTGTGAGCAGGGTGTATGCATGTGTATTTGTGCATGTGTATGTAGGCCAGAGGTCAGGCTCTGGTATCATTCCTCAGGCATTCATTGCCCACTATTGTTTTTTGAGACAGGGTCTCTCACTGACCTGGAACTTACTGAAACAGACTAGGCTGGCTGGCCAGGGATCTGCAGCAATCTGTCTTCATCTCCTTCCCCAGCGCTGGGATTAGAAATGTGTGCTACCACCCCTGGCTGTTAAAAGGTGGGTTCTGGGGCTCAAATTTAGATTCTTATGCTTCCAAGGCAAGCACTTTTGATTCTGCAATCCAGTGCAGTGGACTTTAAAGAAAGATATTTCTACTGGGAGAGATCACCCTTGGGCTGGGAAAGCCGGGGTGGGGGGGAGGTAGGTGGGGTAGGTGGGAGCAGGAAACATGTTCCATTGAGGTTTTAAGAGTAGCATTCACAGAGGCTTTGGAGGGTTAAAGAACTATTTACCTAAACCTTCAATATCCCAACCTTCATCCTATCTTCAGGGGCACTGGTCTGGCCTCTGGGTGTAGCTCATCTCCTGCAGTGTGGTTCATGAAAAGAGTTGCTATCAGGAGTGTCCATAACCTTCTATTTGTTATGTTGCTCAATGTTTGTGGGCATCTAATTGCTTGTGTCTCTTTTAGTTTTCAGTTCCAAGAAAATGTCTCTCACAACTGACACACCCCCTGTTATCAGATGAAAAAGTTAAGCCATCATTGAGATTTGCCTTGCTTGCCTATAATGCCCAGGCTAGGCACAGGCTCAGTCACTGTGACATTTTTTGTCTGCTTGGGAAATATATTTTACTTCAATTTTAATTTTTTCAAAATGTGATGATTATTTTAAGTATTATTATATAGGTATTTTTAATTTTAATCTCTTCAATTTTCTTTTTCTTTTGAGACAGGGTATCTCTATGTAGCCCTGGCTGGCCCAGAATTTGCTATGTAGACCAGTCTGGCCTCAAAATCACAGAGATCCACCTGCTTCCTCAGTAGTGGAAATAAAGGTCTGTACCACTGCACCCAGATCATGTGTTTTTTAATATCCAGCCGAAATGTAGACCTAATATTGTAAATGACATTAGTCAGATTGTGTTTGCAAGCAAAGTGCCATTTTCTACAATGAATAGAACTATGTTCTAGTTTTACAATGAATAAAATAATCTATTAGTAAGTACTTTATCAAGAGTGGAAGTTTTAATAAATAAGCATATTGCATGTGAGGTTACAACCTTTAGTTCCAGAGCTCAACAAACTGGGCTCCAATAGAAGCTTCATCTCAAGAACCAGTGGCTAAGGGCATACTCCATAACTGTCTGTCCCTCAGTGTCATCTATAGAATGGGTATCATAGCTCTACTCCTACAATGTCTAACCTGTGAGATCCAATATCTATCTATATGTTGTAGCTAGGGTATATTATTTTCATTTTTGCATCATTGTTTCTGTCAATACACAGGAACTGTGTCTATTTGCTTAGCTTGCAATGTGAGTTACTTAAAGTAGTTGCTTTTGGTTTATCATCTCATTTTTGGCCACCAGTATTTCTGAGTGACCTCATCAAGATAAAAGACCCTAATACCTGGGAACTGTGACCAGAGTATGCGTGGAGTGTATGGGATTTGAAATATCTACCACACTTTAAATTGTTCAGTAATCTAACCTATGTGACTTTTTTTTTTTTTTTTTTTTTTTTTTTTTGAGACAGGGTCTCTCTATGTAGCCTTGGCCGTCCTGGAACTTGTTATATAGACCATGCTTGCTTCAAACTCACTGAGATCTGCCTGCCTTTGCCTCCCAAGTGCTGGGTTTAAAGGCATGAGCCAACATGCCCAGCTATGACTTGGTTTTTATTCTGCATAATTTGTTTTTCATATAACTCAAAATCTGCTGTGTCTGGAAGCACTATCTACCTATGTTCGTGTTATTGTATAATATTGTTTGGAGACTGATGAATTTCAGGAAAGAGTAGCATGATAAAGATATTTCATGACCTTAGTTTTAGTTTTATATCTAGACTTAATTTTTCTAATCTCCCTATAGTTATCTTACTTGTTCCCCTTAACGGTAAAAATTATTATATAGATATAATTTCTTTAGTCTTGTTTTTTCAAAGAGACACTGATGAATGAGAGGCACTGGTGGACAAAGTGTCATTCTGACAGATTAGAACCACTGAAGTTGGAAAAAGAAGGCCAGAACAATTGCCAAAAGCCCCAGGATTTTGAGCAGGAAGGATGCTGGATTGTTGGATGAAGGCTTCAGACTGCGGGTCTTTAAGGGCTTCAGGATCCTCTGCTTCTGGGTGAGGATGGCATTCCTGGCCCCTTCCCACTGCCCAGGCCCAACCAGGCGGTACTGGTAGGAATTGCAGGGCCCAAAGTAGAGTTTCACAGCCAGTTTAGGGTCTTTGAAAAAGAGAGAGATGAGGTCTGGCTTCACACCTATCTCCAAGGCGAGTTCATCCAGGTAGTCAATGTAATTGGTCTGTAGTATCTGGCTCTGGCTTTTTCCAAACCTTAATGAGGTAAATAAAAGGTTCCAAGTTATATCTTAAAATGAGGCACTCAATAGCTGTTTAAAGAATAAAGGAATGAATGCGTGAAGGCATAAGTTTTGAATGAATGTCTGGGAGGCTCCATTAGGAGGCTCACATTTCAGGTTGATGAGTAGGCCACAAAGTAAATAGACAAATTCATGGAGATTCTAGAAATCTAATGATGTTAAAATGATGACTATTATTTATTACTTATTAAGCTGTTGTAAGTCTCCAAGTAAGATTGTCTGGCTCAGGATTTATACAAATACTCCATGAGGTATCAGAGAGGTGGTGTCTTCCAGAGAAGGGACGCACAGTATTCCCTTCTTTAACTGTTAAAGTACCCTGTAGTATGGCTGACATGTGGAAGATGCTCAACCTATGTTAGATGAATGAAAATTTGCAGTGAGATAACTCTTTCTGTCTGTTAGGTCTCAAGTCAGTGTTGCAAGAGTATTGATTACTGTCAAACTCAGAACTTAGTTTCACCTCAACAAAAATGCAATCAGGTAAGTTTTGAGAGTGCCTCAGGCTGCTGTCACCACCACTGCCTCATCCCATTCCCAGAGTGTGGGTGGCCTGAGAGGATATGGAATCTCACATGGGCATCGTAGAAAAAAATAAGATTAACCTAAGGAAAGATATTCTGAATTGGTACCCATTCCTTCTTTCCTTCTTTCCTTCTTTCCCTTCATTCCTTTCCCTCCCTCCCTCCCTTCCTTCCTTCCTTCCTTCCTTCTTGAGTTTTGGGTCATTTTCCCAGGAAGTCTAAAAGTCTATGTAAAAAATCATCAACTTACAAATTTTCAGTCTCATCTACAGAATGGATTCATTTGGATTGGGCTGTGATCCAGGGCTGTATCTTTAACAGCTAGCTGTCTCTCATGGGCAGTCAGAGCATGGTATTTGTGACACACTACTCTATGTAGGCAATATTTTATAAGTACTTACAGGTCAATCCTTTTTTCATTCCTTTCAACAATGTCCATCTTCATAGTACTCTCTGAGGGCAAGCTACACAAGCCTAGAAAACAAAAACAAAAACAAATTTGCTTTGAATTGTGAGTTTGATTTGATATTGTTGATTTGCATAGTAGCTGTTTTCTAAAATTGATTATTGGCCATTTAGTGATGTCATACCAGGCAGGACCTCTGTGCTTCTGAACTCCAGGGGTGAGAATTCCCTAGTGAGTCATAGCCAGTGACTTTAACTATGAATTGGAGAGGCCAGAGAAAGGGCTGACGCAGGGACACAGGCTTGAGGAGCTATGTCAGGTGGGGTGGGTTCTATCCTGGCACTGACAGGACCCTATAGAAGACTTTCCTGTGTGAGGCAACAAGATTAGATTTACCCTTTGGAAAGATCCATCTAGCTCTTTGATTGAGGAAAGGGGCCTCAAGGGAGGCAAACTTACAATTAGGGAGACCAGGTAAAAGGTTGTTGAAGAAAATCTGGTGATAATGAGTTGCCCCAACTAATGAGGGCAGTTGGGCTAGATAACATAGTGCAATGAGCACTGTGCTTGAGAGCTTGTCTCCTGTGCTCAAGGGTCCTGTGAGCTTCAGAGGAGAAACATGGCCAGCCGTCTAGTATCTCAGACCCTCCTGCCTCTATTCTCAGGCACAGCCGTCTATCCAGTCTCCAGTGCTAGGTCCTGCAAGCCACCCTTGATCCTTCTTTTTTTGTGTTGAACCATACAGCAGGCCCTTCTGGCTTTGTTCCTGAGTGTTTCTAATGTGTATGTTCTCATTTCCATTTTGTCTCTCGACTCTGGCCCAGGCTGCATTGTATTTTAACATAGGTGAGTACTGGCTTCAAGCCTCTATTTCTGAGTTTTAAATATCTGTTCCAAACAACTGATGGAATTACATTACATGTAAAGTAGACATTTCCTACTCTTTGAGTATAACCCCTTCCTGGTACCTCTGGCTTAGGAGCTTTCTAAGATGCAGATTCCAGGTTTTGAGGCCAGACTTAATCAGTATGGCTCCTTAAGGGTCAGCTAGACGGTTCTTAGGTACACTAGATTTGGGAAGAACTTATTTATATTTGTATTTTCCTTCTCTTTCCCCTCCTTCTGCCTCCCTCCCTCCCTCCCTCCCTCCCTGCATCCTTACCTCTCTCTGTTCCTCCCTCCCTTTTTTTCCTTCCAAGACAGTCTTTCTAGAAGACCCAGCTAGATTGAACTTGCTACGTTGCCCAAGATGCCCTTAAACTCTCATCCATCCTCCTGGCTCTAGAGAACTGAAATTATAGGCCTGGGAGCACTTGAAAGGTAAAAGCAAGAGATCTCGAGTTCAAGGCTAGCCTTGGCTACATAGCAAGTTCAAGGACAGTCTTGATTACATTAGATTCCCATTCCTCTGCTGCAAAACAAAAACAAAAAACAAAAAACAAAAAACAAAAAAACAAACCAAAATCTCACAGCTGTCTGTACATTTACATTTTATAATCTGGTATCCTAACACAGTGCGAAAAGCTTTTGTGTCCACCTGTCCTTCTCTAAGATTAACCTGCCATCCTGTTCCTCCTCACATGTAGGCGATGTGGGACTCACAGTTCTCCACAGGCCTCCCTGCTCTGTGTCCTTTGCTCAGGCAAACCCTTCTCTGTACCCGAGAAACTCAGACTTCAGGAAGCTTTCCTGGACCTCCTGTCATTGCACCAAGTTCCTTTCTCTGCCACCAAGCCACTTGTACGTGTCATGTTATTAAAACAACTTGTGTACATTTCTTTCTGACTGACCAGATCCCAGCACCGGCTCGGTGGTAAATGAGGTCTTTGCTGAACAAAACTGAACCCCAGAAGCACGAAACAAACAAACAAACAAACAAACAAACAAAAAAACAAACAAACCTTTTCAAGGAAGGTGAAGTGCTGTACAAATGAGAAGAGACAAACCTTTAAATTTTTTTTTTTAAACTTTGTCCCAGTGAGATGACTCAGCAGGTAGAGGCATGCTTGCTAGTGTGCAGACCTGACAATTTGAGCTTTATCTCCGGGTCCCACAAGGTGGCAGCAGAGAACCACCTGCCCATAGGGTAGAAGTCCTTTGGTCTCCGCCACAGATGGGCCTCCCCTCCAATAAGCACAGTTTTTAAAATGAAGGAAAGAATGTAGGAGACGCTGCTTGGTGGAGCAGCCCACTCACCTTTGAAAACCCGTGTTGCCCAACGCGCCTGAAGCTCCACAGTTGGGAAGATGGATCCCAGAGGCTGGATGAGACCCAAGCATGCAAGAGTTGGCTTCTCCAGGTGAGGCGGGAACATGGATTTGTACAGCGAGACCCTATTATCCTCCACTTTCACAAGCGAATCTTCAAGGAAAGGAAAGGAGAAAGTGTAGCCTGTGGCAAAGACAATGACATCAATGTCCTCCTCCACCGTGCCATCGTCAAAAACCGCAGCAGTCTCCGTGAGCTCTTTGACTCTTGTTTTCACCTTGATGGCTCCATACAGCACACGGCTGGGGAGATCGTCGTTTAGCACAGGTTCTTTCATAAGGTATCTGAGGCACAAAAGGAAAGAACACACTCAGCGCGTTCTTCGACTGAGGAATCTTTAACCCACTCGACGTTTAGGGGTAGCTCTGAAAAATACAGCAGTTTCCCAAATAGCCATACAATTCTAACTCAACTGTTTTGTCCACCCCAGACTTTGTCACTGGCCTCATTTAATATCAACAATCTCTTCCCTTGATAAACAAAGAAAGGCAAGTAGATGGCAAAAGTAAAAAAAGACAATCTGGAGACAGCAGTATCTCCACAGGGGCTCAGATATGACGTCAGCACCCATTGTTAATCTTTGAACTTGCTGGCAATTGTTACCTTCTGGTATCTCTATCACTTTTTATTCTGTCTACTTTTCACTATTTGGTAGTCTCATTTAATCTCTACCCAATGATAAATAAAGGAAAACATATTACATTAGCACTGAGAGCTACTGTGGATCAGTGTGAGAATCAATGCGTAAAATGAAAATTGCTGACATCTACTGACCCCCATATCTATAGAAACTCTGTTTGTGGTGGCATGGATGGCGGAGCTAAAGTCTGGTTGTATTTTTGCAGTTGTTGGTTTGTAAACCATTTTCTTCTCTTTTAAAAATAAGGCAACATATGACATATGTGCTGGAGTCTTAATTCAGCATAATGGAGCATCTAAGATTCCAAATATCTTCTCCCCTCCTCTGGGGAGGGAGACTGTTTATCAAGTGAAGAAAGGCAAACATCCACCATGTTTACTTGTGCTTACAGTATCCAAGATGTGTGACTTTGATACCAGCAAATATTTGTCTTTTGGCCACAAGAAAGTATATGTTCACATGGGAACAGCCTTCAGCGGATATGGACAGCAACGGCTGACTTACCAGATGAAGAGCTAGCTTTTCCTATCACAGTGCTTCTACCATCTTCTTAAGTATTATTATAAAGACACTCAGTATGAATTTGGAATTAAGACCCCGGGACCAATACAATTACACATCCTGTTGGGTTATAGCTTGAACTACCATGCTAGCAAATCGGATCTTTGCAAAGAGAGGCACCATCAGACAACCTTGCCTGCAATAAGCGTACCACAAAAAGAAAAATAACACTACTTGTTTTGAGGCACCAGACCATAATTTTCATGGTTGAACCATCGATTCATTTGCTGTTCCATCATCCACTTGACGACTGTGCGTGGCAGGACATTTCGGAGCATAGTGCTAAATCTAGTGTGGAACACCATGTCCCAAGGGTAGCCATCTTCAGAGATTCGGCTCATGACCCAGGCACCATGTCTGGTGCTGATAAACACCTGGTGAACAGAAAGGAGTGCAACTGAAATATGGGCTTTGGCCTTTTGGGAGGACTCTCTTGTACAGGTGATATGAAAAGTGTTTGGTGGCACAATTTGCTGAGCTCTATTTAGTGTTTGTGTGCGCATGTGTGAAGGTGTGAGTGAGTGTGTGTGTGTGTGTGTGTGTGTGTGTGTGTGTGTGTGTGTGTGTGTGATTGTGGGTCTATGTGTGTGTATAAGGATGCCAGAGGTCAACCTTGAATGCCATCCTTTTTGTTATCCATCTTGGTTTTTATTTGAGACAGGGTTTCTCACTGACCTGGAGCTCACCAATTAGGATAGGCTGGCTGTCCAATGCATAAGAATCTGACTCTATTTATCTCTCTAGAACTGGAAGTATGTACCATGAAACTTACCCTTGTTTGTTTCTCCTTTCTTTTTCATCATTTAATAGTCTCATATACTTATATAATAATGAATTTTAGTCATTTCCTTTCTCCCATTTCCCTCTCCCATTCTGGGGGGTCAAGTCCAGGTCCTCTGCTTGTGAAGAAATCACTTTATCTACTAAAGGTTCCCTCAGGTTCCATTTGAAGAGTATTTGACCTCAAAATGAGGTCCTCTTAGCCTTTTTACTTCTCTTTGGCAACTATGTCCTGACGAGAGCTACCAGTAACGTGCGCTGATAGAGGAGTGTACCAAAGCCCTGATAACGTCCTGGAGATATGAGGAAACCTTTAGACTAATTCTCATGGTTAGTTGACCAGTCTCTCCTGTGTCCAGATGTGCCCTGCTGCTCCCTGAGAAACAGCTCCTCTGTCCTTTCACTCTGCCTCCCTGAGGAGATCTGGTGAATAACCAGAGGCCCTGCAAACACGTGCCTACTGTGTAATAGCTGCAGCAAGTGTGTAGGGCTCTAGTATCTCTGGAATAAGAGCAACCACCTCTTTCCAGACCTAAAAGAACATTATGTGTTTTGAAAGTTAAAATCTCTGCTTGTATGCTGGGGCTCTATTCCTCTTCACATATACATCTTTATAACATTATTTTTTTATGTTTTGAGATTATAGCTATAGCATCCCTCCTTCCCTTTCCTCTCCCTAGTTCCTCCCATCCCTCCCATGTACACTCTGATCCCATTCCCTTTCAACATGATGGCCTCTTTTTCATTAGTTGCTGTTGTGTGTGTTCTTTGCCTTGAACATTAAAATTTCTCTTGTTTTCAAAAACATACACTTAAAAATCTTGTCAGAGATGTATTCCACTCCCCCGCCCTTTTTTTAAACTGCTGTCTTCCCATGGTCCAAATGCAGCATTTCAGCTTCCCAGTATTTTTTTTTGTCTCATCTTACTAGTTCTGTTAAGGTTGTCTTCAATGAATAAACAAGACTCATTTGCAAGGCATCCAGTTTACTCAAGAGGTGTAGATCATGGACTCAGGGTACAGACTCTTCAGGTTTGAAACTCGGCACCACTACCTATGAGCTGAGTTGCCTTGGTGAGTTATTTGGATTGCTCTATGCTCCAGTTTCCTTTTTTAAACTATTTTTAGAATGTAGCAGTGGTGTATCATCTGTCTTAGGACATTTTTGGCAGGTTAAATGATGTTATAGATGTATTGTGAAGTATAAGCACCAACTCACATTGTTTTGTAGATTGACCTTAACAGAGGCATTGCCAGTTTTTTTTTTTTTTTTTTTTTTTTTTTTTTTTTTTTTTTTTGAAAGGATGTCAATCCTACCTAAGCTTGGGGAGTAGCACATACCCAAGCATTGGTGTACTCTTGGTCTCTGTGTGGCCACATGCTTGTGCTCCAATTTGTTCCTGTTGTTGCTCTTATGCAGGTTCGACAACATTTAGAGTAGGTATTGGATATTCTATTTGAATACTCCATCACCATTCCTTTCAGTAATTTCCTACTGTCTTTCTGAAGGGTCAACATTGGATTTTTCCATTTTATTTGTTTTCTTTCTGTTGTGACCCCCTTTGCTGCAGAAAAATCTAACCCAGATGAAGACTGTGATCGGCATGAGGGTCAAGGTTCTCAGGCTGCTATCTCTGAGATACAAACTTCCAGTCCCAGATGTGAGGATATGAGAACTTACTGTTCTGTTTTAATTTTAGACGTATGTGATTCATAAATATTGAAGAGGGGCTCTATGCAAAAGACTAATGAATGAGTTATAAGGCACAGGCATATAGTCAAAGTAGCTGATTGGTATCAAATTTGACCAATACTTTGCCTTGTTAACATGGAATAACCCTATAAAGAAATGGCTCTTGAAATTCAGTATTTGACTCTCTGGGACATCTGTTCTGAGCCCACATCACTGACACTGGCCTTGGATGACTCTTCATTTGGCTGACAGAAAAAGCGGCTCAGTTTCTTTCCTCCTGTCCTATTGCACTCCCTTCTTCTCAAGTTTTAGAGGTGTTTCCAGCATGAGGGGAACTGGTGGCTGGTGGCTCCCACCCCTTTCTACTGTGTTTCAAATCTCCAGTTATTGCTTGACTTGTTCTTTATGGAAAGGGCTGAAAACTTTGAAAAGTGAAAGGAGACAGTGATCTATCATCTGTCTGTCTGTCTGTCTGTCTGTCTGTCTATCTATCTTTATCTACCTCTCATCTATCTGTTCATCTATGTATGTATGTATGTATGTATGTATGTATGTATGTATGTATGTATCTATCTATCTATCTATCTATCTATCTATCTATCTATGTATTTGAGGCAAGGTATCCTACAGAACTGGAGCTTGCCAAGTAGATAGGCTCTCGGCTAACAAAGCTGTGGTATCTACTTGTGTCTACTTCTCCAACACTGGGATTACAATGGTGTGCTATCATGCATGGTTTAAGACAATGTGGTTTCTAGCCATGCTTGTGCAGCAAGCACTTTGTACCTGTGCTATCTCCTGGTCTGTGCAATAATTTCAAAAAGTTGGTTCTTAAAATATTAACAGGTCAGGCCGTTCATGTTGGTGCATGCCTTTAATCCCACTTGGAAGGTAGAGGCAGGCAGATCTCTGAGTTTGAGGCTAGCCTGGTCTATAGAGTGAGTTCCAGGATTGCCAGGGCCACACAGAGAAACCCTGACTCAAACAAATAAATAAACTTTAACAGGCCAGTTTCTCATGAGGCCTCTTGGGTAAAAACTAGGCCTTCTGAACCAGAAATATCTAGTTGAAACATCCCATTAAAAAAAAAAAGGCACCACAGCTCAGAGAAGTGTGTAGGACACACACCTAGTTAGTAGCAGAGGTGGGAGTTAGACTCTGGTTTTGTGGCTTCCAGAGTTCCTATGTTGTCATGACAGGCAGCCACCTATCAAGCAAATGACCGTTGCTGTACAGCTGGGTACTCCAGTTGTCTCTCCCCACCCCTTCCACACAGTGCAAGATAAGCAAAAGCATCGCACCTGCGAGGCCTTCTTACTCAGTTCAGAGGCAATGTCTACGGCTGAGTTGCCTATTCCAACAACCAGGATGCGTTTCCCCTCAAACCCAGCTGGGTGTTTGTATTGACGGCTATGGAAATACTGGCCTTTGAACCGCTCGATACCTTCAGGAGGAAGAAAGGGGAAACTGTGAACTTCCAAGTAAGCAATTATGACAAGTTAATTTCAATAAAACAGCACAGTCCATTTCTCCTTTTTGATTTCTCATGTCTTCTCTTACGGGAGTTACAATAGTCAATTGTCAAACTCTAAGTAAAAATACCATAAGAAATATTAGGGCCATGTGAGAGGCTGTAGTGTGTGTGTTTACCAGTGGCAAACAAATGGCTTTACTTTTCAGAGTGCTGCCTAGTGAAGGCTGGCCTGGTGCTGGCTTCTCGATAGCTATTCTGTTTTAGACAGTCTGTGACACTCTAGCTTCACATCATAGATGCACTGAAGAACTATTTTGAAATAGTGTTATTGTAATTGCACAATAATTGGAATAGTATTTATCCTTTTGCAAAAACAAATAACCAAAAGACTAAACCCAGGACTATAGAAGCTGCTCATTGAGTGACTCAATAACCATTTGATTGCTAACCATTTATGTGCCTCTTCGTGTCCTTCCAATGAACCCGCTTTATACTTCCCAGTAGTAGATGGCCTTATTAAAGTGTTCTTTGCTTTTAGTGTGGGCAACTCTCATATGAAGTCTGTTTCTAACCCACTGTGTCAGATACTTTCCCCAAGGACTCTGGGAAGGGAGTGTTCTTTGTGACTCCTTGTTTAGGGGATGATTCTTGATTAGGAAGTGACCTCAGAGGGAAGGCTGGGGCATCAGGACAGCTGGCTTTAGGGACCAACTCCTGCATTCCTCCTTCACCTCTGTCCTGCCTGAGTGTGTATTTCTAGGAATTCTCTGTAGCAACTCTTGTCTTGTAGAAAAGGCTCGAAAGATGTAGCACCTTTTCATGGTTTTGGCAGGACAGAACAATCTGGATAGGCATATGGCTAAAAGGTCCTTTTATACAGAATGGATTTTTTTGCAAGAATTCTTTGAGTTTCTGGGAAAAATATTATGATGCTGGAGGAAGTTAGCTGAGCTACATGAGAAGACCCAGAGAAAGCAACAGAAACAAAGATGGTGTTGGCATTTTCCAGCTCTCCAACTGTATCATTCCCATTTTACCATCCAATCTTACTATTATTCCCTTTCTTGGCAGAAAATTCTGCCTGCCCATCTAAACTCCATGCAAGATTCCTGGAAGCCCACTCCCACAGGCTGAGAAGCCCCGTAGACTCACCTGGAAATGACTTCAGTGGCAGGTGAGGTTGGATGTGATGGCCACTGCAAACCATAACTGCGTCAAAGACAGCATGTTGCTCCTTGCCATTGCTCTGAGTAGAAACTTCCCATTGCCCAGAAGATGCAAAATCTGGGTGTTTTTTCACACTAACGACGGTTGTCTTGAACAAACATAGAGAAGGCCTCATTAATTACTCTGGCAGGGCTCTGAAAGTAAGGATGGGCTGAGTATAATATGTAACCCATTTGCTTTTCTTGAGTTCACTGCCAGCCTCTGAAGGCAAACTTTGCCAAGTGGTGCTTCTTATTCTTTGGCAGGCAAACACAGAGGATATCCTTAGAAGACTGTCATTCACAGGATGGCTCTACCAGGAATTGGAGGGGGAACCACAGGAGGTAAAGCTGGACATTTTATCAGGATTTACAAATACAGATTTCCATGAAGATCAGCTGTTACGTTAACATAACACAAGCCTGGTGCTTACAAAGCTAAAGTTGCTAAGAAAGTGAAATGCATTAAAAATGAGCCCCATTAAAGTTATTTATCCAGAAATGCAATTTCAAATTTAACAGTGCTCCATGTTTAATGGTAACTTGTTCCTTTGCTGTTCCTCTTTGTAGAAAGTACAGGAAACGGTAATTTCAAGCATAACTCAAAGTGATCTGCTCATCTTTCTCTTGCTGCAGATTATATGCAGAAAAGAAAAGAAATTAGGGAAAAGTAGTTACCACATGCACCTGAGATAAATGGAAAGTAGAAATGTGCTTAACACATTTCTGTGAAGAACTTAGAAAAAGAACAGTTTGACTCTTCGAGAGGTACGAGGCTAGAAGTCAGTGGTAGGAATAGTTTAAATACAGTTTAGCATTATTTTATCACCATTTAAACTTTTCAGTTTTAATGGATGCTTCCCCCCTCATTCATGTGTACCCTCAAAAACAATAAGACCACTTTTGCGTGTAATACCATGCTTTTACCTTTCAACAAACCCACCAAAAGTGCAATGGTTAATTTTAATTGCCAGAGTCAGTTTTCTATATCAGTGTGAATTGAGCTAAGGCAGAGAAATCCACTTCCCAACACACACACACACACACACACACACACACACACACACACACACACACAGCAACACAGACACCAAATCTGACTGAATATATTTTAGAAGATCAAACTTCTTGGCAAAGATCCTGAAATATTCCAGGAGTTTAGAATTGTGCAGGAAGTTGGGGAAATCCTCGGGCATCGGGAAGTCACTGAAGCAGGACATTTCTTTGCTGGTGTTGGTGATGACGGAGTGATAGATGCTTGCTCGGCCATCTTCCACATTTTCCTAAAGGAGCAAGTGAAATCATCAGTGGCAACGGCTTTAACACAAGTTTTACTGGTGTTAAAAGTCTTCTGGAATCTAACCCCCGTGTGATGGGACTCTCTTTCCCTGCTGTATCATGACTAAAACTCCTGTGCAGAGGAGCAGCACATATGATCCATCATTCTGTGTGATGAACCTGTTTGTTGCCAACTAGTGCTGCTCAGTGGGTGTGCTATCGGCCCTGGTGAGGTTTGGAGTAGAGACAAACTTGTCTTCTTTTTTTTTTTTTTTCACATTGTAGAATATTAGAATATTTAGCATTTCATTTTCCTACTATTTAACACCAAACTTTGTGAGCTAGTTGCCTTCTTAAATTCCCCTAGGGAGGCTTTATTTATTGTTTGCCCTTTAAGGACTAATAATTCCTGGGATACTGGATACAGAATTTAAAATTAAATGAGTGGATTTTGGAGCAGGGAGTTTTACATCTTGATTGAACCCAATAGGTCTCTATTTTGTGCTTAATTCAAGTCAGTCTTCCTTAAGTGACAAAGGGGATCAGTACTGTCACCAAATATTATAGTTTTTGTCAACTTGATACACACTCAGACATACCCGGAAAAAGAATCTCAACTGAGGATTGACCCTTGGGTATATCTGTAGGGCCTTTTCTTGACTGCTGATTGATGTCCATGGGGTGGGGAGGGTGGGGTGGAGGGTAGCCCACTGTGGATAGTGTCAGATCTGGGCAGGAGGGCCTGAGCAGCATAAGGGAGCAAGCTAAGCAAGCCAGTCAACAGCATTTAACTTGGTCTCTGCTTTGATTCCTGACTCCAGCATCCTGCCTTGAAATCCTGCCTGACTCTGCTTGATGATGGAGACTGTAACCTATAGGCTGAAATGAACCCTTTCCTCCTGAAGTTGGTTTCAATCAGTGTTTTATCATAGAAATAGGAAGCAAACGAAGCCACCAACCAGATGACAAACCTGATTTTTAATGTTCACAATTGGGCCTTGCTAAAAATCCCATAAAGCTTATGTTATGATTGAGTTAATATTGTCTTCTAAAGTCATACTCTGTACGATGTCCTTCATGTAAATTTATGTAAATAAATAGCTAAGACTGGTGATCAGAGACTGAATAAACCTATGACCAGAGATGCTTTTATTATAAAATTTAAATAATGGTGCCTAAGAACTCTTCAGTGGATGCTTCTGCGTATACAAAGACTAAGCTATCATCCAGAGAAAGAGTAATTTCCATTTGACTATGCAGTAGAATGGCTGTAAAGAGAGTAAAGTTTGTAGAAATTCATTAACTGAAAATAATTACTTAATCTTACTTTTATGGCATCATACTGTCTTCTGTAGAGAAGTTTTAAAAGAAAAGTATTCATTTGCAATCCGACCAGCATTTTAAATCAAGCATACATGTTTCTTTCTTGTAATTTTTTTTAAAATAGAAAATTATTCCCTGCCTGCCATGTTTTTCAGTTTTTGAGTTTTGACACCATCGAAAGTGGTCATCTGAGATGGGCATGAGCTTCCTAATGAACATTAAGTCAGCTACAGGTAAATAGCATGACTCCATCTCAAAAATGCATACATAAAGAAATAAAACAAAACCCCCCAAAATGAAAGAGGTAACCAGGATTAGAAGAAGATGAACTTAGTCTTCTTAGTTAGATGTGGGTGTCAACACATCTCTTTCTCTTTAAAGAGAGAAGTCTGGGCCAATCTGTTCCTCTCATCTATGAGGCAGGCCTGTAAGAAGTGCTCCATATTATGAAGAATGCCATTAGGTCCCAATATTGGCACTATCACAGCTCCCTAGGCATTGAAGGTTAATTTGGGTATCAGCTACTCTGATGATATAGAAGAAATGGTGTAGTTGCTCACTGTTACACGTGGGTATTCTGCAAGAGGTTGTACTTGGTCTCCGTGAGTTAAAAAAGAGCAAGCTCATGTGACTCACTGTCCACAGTCTAAGTAGAAAGTATTCTATGTGTTGGGACTTACTGGATCTTAATATCAGGGTTGTCAACACGTATTACTCACTCTTAGAACCGGTTGTTAAGAGAAATACTCAGAATTCTTGCTAAATATAGATTTGCTTATAAATCTTTCTCCCTTATACTCCCTTCTTCTTCTTTTATCATTCATTCATCATTCACAATCTGTTTATTCTCATATGCCTATGATTAGACTTTCCCCTTGAGTAATGTGTTTATTTTTCCTGGACTAGAATCTAAACTTGGACAATAACTGTTCCTGTTGCAGGTGGCTTGGGCAAAGGCAGTCTTCAGCCTTTGGACTATGTTGGGTCTCCAGACAGGGTTTATAATTCTGTTATTGCAAACTATGTGTACGTATAGAATACAAAAATGCATTTCAACAAAATGAAGTGTTTTCTGACTTTCACACAGGGATATGATGACTTGAACATTAGATTTTATTTTCAAACACTAGCTTCAAATTGTGCAACACTACAGTCATATTGATGTATAAATATTTTTTTCTGGTTGTTTGGGCATAATTGAACACAATGTCCTTGGCAAGACTGAATACTTGGGTTTCCTCTCCAACTAGAGTCTTAAAATAGGAAGTATATCATTAAGAAAAGAAATGTGTTTTCCCTCACTCAACACCACCTAATTTTGAGTAGTACTGAGTAAACAGCAAAGGTCCTCTGAATATCTCAGTGGGGCTGGTCCCTCCTGCATCTCTTCATGCTTCTGCAAACATGGACAAGTTACACAATCCAGTTTCTTCATGTTCCTGTGTCAAATGGGCTTCACTCATAACCCAAACATTGAACAGTTGTTCTGAGGTTTACAAAGATTAGACAAGGTGCTTAGCACAGTGCTTGCCTCCCCAATAAGTGATAGGTCAATGTTTGCCTCTCTCACTATTGCTACAGACCCCCAGGGTGAACCTCACCAAGGCAGAAAAACATTACATCCATCTGAACCAAGACTGTTCCATGGTAGCCAAAATGTTAGGATCTTTCAAGAAGTGTGATTGTACTCTTGGTCAGGATCTGAGGATGAGAAGGATTCATTCTAATTTCTGATTCTTAACACAAATTTTAGGGCTAGACTGAAATATTCTTTGGAAGTTTTACTTTATAGATTATCACCAATAGTGGTGGTATCACAAATCTTTTTTCTAAGGAGGAAGTGATAATCTTTATTGCAGACTTGATTGGTAGAAGCAGTTTCTTGACAAAAGCAGGGTGTGGTTGGGGGTAGTAGAGCACTTATCTAGCATGTCTAATTCCCCATTTCTACCTTTTGGGACAGGATATCTGCGTAGTCCTGGCTGTGCTAGAGCTTACTTTGAGCTGTCCTCAAACTCACAGAGATCTGCATGCTTCTGCCTCCTAAGTGCTGGGAGTAAAAGTATGTGACACCATGCCTGGCTGCCAAATACTTCATAAGTGCTTTTTCATTTATTTAGTTGGGTGATGTAGAAGTCTACGTGTTTAGATAAGTAAAACTGGCATAATTTTCATAGTTGCTAATGGGCGATGATGAATGCTGACTTAATAGAGCTTATTTGGCCTGGACTAAGCTGGGAGTTGGGGGACAGGAAGTAAACAACACAAGAAAAATTCTGTCTTTGTGGAGCTTCTTATTGTATTGCATTCAAATGCATCTGAGTCTTGCAGCCGTAAAAGTGAAAATGGAGGGAGGGAGGCTTTCCTGTCTGCTAGACAGAGACAGTATAGAGCATCTTCAAAGTGGTAAATCCCACCCCATGTTTACCAAGATGACTGCGACTTAAATCAATATTTATGCAAAAGTGTAAAAAAAATTGCTTCCTACTCAGCCACTAGTGAGGAAAATCGGAACCCTTAAAGGTAGGAAGAAAAATAATGCAGGCCAAGTGCTTCTTTGCTGGTGCTGAAAATTATTTAATTCATCACCCTGCCTGTATCCCAAAGATGACACCAGGGGGTGCTACAGAACCTTCTGGAAGAATTCAATATCACCTAAGCCAGGCAAGGCACGCAGATTTAAATGTTTTGGTTTTGTTTTTAAATTAGCGCTAGATGTGCCAAGTGATCTCAGAGGATTCTGTGTCAATGTGGGAATCAGTAAAGAATCGATTTGCACTAGTTTAGGATGGTGTAGTTTCCAGGAGCAGTTTCCCTAGGGATGAGCATGGAAGCCCCCAGAATCCTTTTCCAGAGTCTTCTCTTGGAGGTCCAATACCCAAGATGCTCATGGGGCCCCAGTACCCAAAATGCCATGGGGCGTCAGTGGCAGCCTGTGCAATTTGCTTAGTGTTTCTTTCTGCAGGAAGGAGATCTTTGAGAGGAGAAAATTATTTATCATTCTCCATTGGATATAGTTTTAAGAGAGGCTTGGTATATGTCACTATTATAGGCACTAGGAAACTATGTATTTAATGTTACCCAATAAGGATTAATTAATTCACATTTAATCTATTTTTCCAAAATACATAAGAAAATATATCTGATTTTAAAATGTGATACCCTGGGGCTGTGGAAATGCTATAGGAACCACCTTCTGGGTATGTATTAAATCATATCATTGACATACCATTCAAAGTAGCTTTTACCTCTTCAGATAACAAATTAGTGACAAATAAGGAGGACTTTGTACTCAGATATTAAGTCTTACACATTAAAGCTGTTATAGGGCCATTGAAATGGCTCATTGGGTCAAACTCACTGTCCAAAACTGATGATGTGAATTCAATCTCTGCAACCCATGTAAGGGTGGAAGGTGAGAACCAATTCTACAGAGTTGTCCTCTGACCTTCACAGGCATGCGACACTGGAGCACCCAAGCTCACATCTCTCTCTCTCTCTCTCTCTCTCTCTCTCTCTCTCTCTCTGCCTCCCCCTCTCTCTTACACCCACACACACACACACACTAAAAGTTAAACTTGTTACAGTTTAAACCTTAGATACAAATGAGTACCCTGTGTTTGAGCCGACACTGGAGAAGTTATCAATTAAGACAGGAATATATTAGGTTACTTTCTCAGGAAAGGTTGTAATTCTAGCAACCAGTGATTATTAAGATACATGCGTGATTCCTCTCTGTAAAGCCACTCATCTCATATAAAGGTCAATTTCTCCATCATTAACTCTGTGTTTGCACAGTTGGAGGAAAACATTTCGATTTGGCCCCTGTCCACCATTTGCCAAGCTGTCTCATTTATTGTAGGGTTCATTAGAGAATTGCATGCATCTCTTCAGGAGATTTAGGTTAAACATGTCTGGTAATGAGAATTATTTTCTGCAAATATTTACATTCACGGGCCTTAAGCCTATTTGGTTGTCTGTGAATCTGCCAATAATAATTTGAATGATAACTAGTAATATGAAAATTTAGGTTGGATAAATAGAATGACTTTAATTAATAGAAAATGTCTAACAAAGAGGTTCACAGCAACTATGCTAGAGTATGACCACAAAAGCTCAGTAAACAAGCGTGGTTTGTTTCCAGAGAAAAACAAAGTGGGAAGTGATAAGGGCCCATTCTCTGTAAAAGCTTTTGGCTCAATTATTAGGATAGAAGTGATGTCTTAAAAATAACTCTACTTCTATTTTATGCTTTCTAATATCAGTGCATTGTCTAGTTAGTCTATTAGAAAAATGACAAAAATATGGGCTGTTTGAAATTAGCTAGATTTTTAAAGGATTCCTTAATGCCCTGAGTTGATCACATGGGTTGGTTGGCACAGCATTGACCTGGGAGAGAGACCAGCTTGAGTTCAGCTTCTGGTTAGCTGCATTAATAAATAAAAATAAAATTGGATCAAAGCTGCTTAAGAAATGTTGCAAAGACGCATCCGCCACGTTGAAATCACAGTGTGCCTTTGTCTGAGATAGAAAAGTCACACTCACCTTGAATCTCCACAGTCCTCCGATGTCTTCAGTCCTTTCAAAGCAAGTAGGCTCCAGACCCTCATCCACACAGCACTTCAGAGAGATCAGGCCACTGACACCTGCTCCAATCACGGCAACCTTCTTTGCCATTGTCTCCTGTCAATGAGTTGATCAGTCATTACTGCTTAACTAGGACAAAGGTAAGCCGATCCTCCTGTGTGGTCAGGTCACACTAGTGGTGGTAATTTAATAAGCAGCACTGATTAAATAGAACGCCTCGCTAATCAAATCCTCATCTCTCTGTCCCCTTAGGAGAAACTTGTCTGGTCATATGACCTTCATTGTAAACTTGCTTACCATGTCTTGGCTTAATATTAAAAAGGAATCTGTTTAAGCAAGCCAAGTTACTCAACAAAAACAGTCCTGGGGCTGTGAACCAAAGCTGGTTGTGTTCTCTGGAGTTCTGAGCACTTCCTTCTCAGCCTCTCTCCCCAGTTGTCATCCTTACCTTTATCTGTGTTTTTTAGCACTGTCTCTTTGGCAGAAGAGTTTCCTCTGTGGGTGGTGTGCAAAGAGATGTGAGTTTTTAAGAGATGGAAGAGGCTGGGAGAAGTAGGAGGAGCTTTCCTCCTCCTTGAGCACTCTGCCAATTGAATCTCCAAGGACATTATTAGTACTGAGATTAAGCAAGAGGTCCACTTGCTAAGGTCGAGAACACTGAACACACAGCATACAGATGGTCTAAAGTTTATTTTTATAGTCAGTATAGAAAATGTGTATTGACAATTGAAAAGAGTAAATAAGTAAAAAGAAGTTAAAACCATCCCCACTATTACTATCCAGATATACCTACAATCACCATTAACATTTTTGAAAGTTATTCCACCTATACATTGTATGTGTGTATGTGCTCATGTACACACTTATACACAGAGGTTGACATGAGGTATTTTCTTCAATTACTCTTCACCTAACTCTTTGAGACAGGGTCTCTCATTAACTCTGCAGCTCACCAATTCAGCTAGACCTTCTGGCCAGTGAGCCCCAGGAATACTCCCATTCCCAATGACCTGCTGCTTGGTTCCAGATGCATGCTACTGAGGCTGGATTTTTGTGTAGGTGGGGACCTGGAATTAGTTTGCTTTTGTTGTTATTTTGTTTTTTGTTTGTTTTTTATTTTCGAGACAGAGTTTCTCTATGTAGTAGTCCTTGCTGTTTTGGTTTTTGCTCTGTAGTCTAGGCTGGCCTCTAAGTCACATATCTTTCTGCCTCTGCCTTCCAAGTGTTGGGATTAAAGGCGTGCATCACCACTGCCCAGCTGAATTTAGGGTTTTGTTTTGTTTTGTTTTGTTTTTTGAAACAGGGTGTTTCTGTGTAGCTCTGGAGCCTATCCTGGCACTTGCTCTGGAGACCAGGCTGGCCTTGAACTCACAGAGATCTGCCTGCCTCTGCCTCCCAAGTGCTGGGATTAAAGGCGTGTGCCACTAACGCCCGGCTGAATTTAGGTTTTTATGCTCGTGTGGTAAGCACTTTTTGAACGAGCCATCTTCTCAGCTCCACTTTCACTTAGTTGTATGTAACACAAGTAGCAAATTAAACACTTGATCACACTACAAGTGTAATTTCCAACTTAGTGTTTTACTCCACTCTACCAGTAAGTTTGTACAAGAGCATTTTTAATGGTTGCATGAATTCTATTTGGTTGGTGGTGCTGCTAGTCATCCATCTAATAGTTATTCATTTTTGTGTGCTCGGTATTATTTGTCATGGGTCACAGTGCCTGGACGAGTAGACTGTGTCCCTGACTTCATGAATTTTTACTCTAGTTCTGATCTGGGTTCTCTTAGGCTCCATGACCTCTGGGTCTTAGTACTCTATGGTCATCTGTTCCTAGTTGAGGCCTGTTTCTCAACTGATTTCTCCGCCTGTATGTTTGCTAGCTCGGATGGACCTACTGGGACTTCTAAGGTCTTCCCTACCCTCCTTGACCTTTTCTCTAGTTCTTAGACTATTATTAGTATTAACATTTAGCTGTAGGCTAAACCAGAAAGCTAAAAGGCTCTGCATATCTTGGACATAGTCAAAGCAGAGATGGTAAGGCCTCTGCTGTCCGGCTCTGAAGACCCGTGGCTGGAGGGTCCTGTGATACTTCACACATGTTGACTAACTGGATTTCAAATGTTTCCCAGGTACCAGACACTCTTAAGTGCTACAGATACTGTAGGAGACAAACAGAAAAACTTCGTGGACTTGCAGACCTTGGTTGCTAGAGGAGGGACCAGACTGACAATTAGGAAGACGACATAGACAGTGGCTAGGAGGAGAGCCAGGGGAAACACAAAACCCAGAGAGAGCCGTGGAGTGTCAAGGTGAAGGGCAGCTTTTCAGTGTGAAGTGCAGTGTTCAGGGAATGTCAGTGTCTCTAAAATGTCCCAACCTGAACTTAATCATGATGACAGGCTCCTCTTCAATAAATTGAGTGACTGTATCACCTACAAAGGGGATGATCAGCGACTGGATACAAAGGAACTGCACACATTTCTCAGCAACAAAGAAAAGGGCAGTCGGATCACAGATTTTGCTAATAGCCCACAACTAATAAAGAAGAAGATGATCCCTCGGTTGTGTATTCACCATTCTTTCTTTAATTGATTCTATTTTAGAAGTCTCTGGCTAATAATTGTAGTTGACCATTAAACTTAGGATATGCTAGCAAAAATTTTAGCTGACTGAAGCCTTGTGATTGGATAGAGGCCAACAGTGTGGTCCTGCCCCAGGTATAACTCATGAGGAGACTGAAGCCATTTTATGGTAAGCTAAACCGGTATCTTTATTCGAAGCCAAAGCACTGGCAACTTCCTGGCAATAGTACCAGCTTTACAGAGGTAGTCCTGGCTGGCAAATGGTACAAAGGTGTGCCTTGTACCAACAAGCTCCTAGGGAGACTGCAGGTATACCCAGAGTGAATCAGTGAGCCCCCGGGGCTATTTTTGATTAGTAGACCTGTAATTGTTTCAAGTTTCTGCTATTACAAAAGCATTGTGCACTTTTTGTACATCTCTTCCACACTCAACTAATTATTTTCTCTCAATGGATACATGAGGCAAGGATTGCTGAGTGAGCACATTTGAAATTTTGAGGCTAAGGCATTCCTCCAAGTTTAGAGATCTTGTTAACACACAAGCAGGTTTTTAATAGTTATGAGATCAGCCCAGATTATTTTTTAGCAAGCTTCCCAGTGACTCCCAGTGTGTCCTTTCTTTCTTTCTTTCTTTCTTTCTTTCTTTCTTTCTTTCTTTCTTTCTTTCTTTCTTTTTTTAACCACATTTTTTTTTTTTTAGTTGTAGCTTTCTAATACCTTTAGTCAAGCTGCCTCCCAGGAAGCAGATATATTTTAACAGTTTTTTTATACGTGTTCTGAATTGTAAAAATACTCTCCGGTACAATAATTCATTTTAGTAGCCCAGGTCTATAGGCTTTACCCTACTTTTTAGGAGTGAAAATGTATTCCATGTCACTAGGGAGTTGAAGAAGAGCCAGGAGGGCAGTAAGTTTCTCAAAACATTATCATATTAGGAGCTCCCAAGAAGTTTTGTGTTTAGTCAAGAGGCTATATTTGAAATTCCCTAGTCAAGAAGGTTGATTGATGGATAAGATCACACAAGGTAAGGTGAAAGTCTACCTAGGACCCCAAATGTGAATGCTCCAGAAAAATCGAGTTTACTCTGGTCTAAGGAAGAACTTTCTATTTAGCAATAATGTATAAATATAGAGGGGTGTTCTGTAAGAGGAGATTTCTTTATTACTGTGCATTCTCAAGCAGACAAGCCGATGAATTGTTCACTGATCACAAGGGATGCTGGTATGTGTGGTTTATATGTGGCTAAGCGTAGAGCTGAGATCAGAAATCTTGCTGTTATCAGTCCTTGCTCTAAATGCAAAGATGCCAGGAAGGCTATTGATTGGAAAGTGCCCTGGATATTGTGGTGGCTGGAAGGTCCTTTTCACAGATCCGTGTTCAGGTGGCCTGGAATGACCCTTACAGCATTCTTGGAAGAGTCCACATCCTCTTCACTGAGAATTCCTGTCAGGAGAATATACTTATCAGCCATCTTTTCTTTCTCCTTTGTTTTTGACTATCTGTTATTTATTTAACAGAAATATTCAAACACAGTTCCCCTTGCTGAGGAGCAAAGAACTGGGAAGACAGGTTCTCTTATTAAATCCCTTTAGACCTTGGATGAACCACAAATCAAACTAGATTTTTCTGTAGATGAGCTAGCTACAAGTATGTTGTTTGTAGACCCATGACTTCCTGTGTGCCCTGTATTTTCTGGGGCAGTGCTTGAAAGAAATAATCCCTCTGGAGCTGCAGGATCAGGAAATTGAACTGAGCAAGCTGTTTACTTCCTTTTGACACCAGCAGACTGGCACGAGAGATCTGCACAAGAAGTGCCTTTCCCATAGCACTGAGTAGTGTGTCTATGAAAACCCTGAATCGGGCAAACACTTTGAGCCCAGGTTTAGAAAGCAGTTTTATTGAGATACAATTTAAGATATCCCATATTCCTCCAGTTTTAAATGCAAAATTCAGTGTTTTTGCTAAATTTGAAGTTGTGGAATCATCACCAAACCAATTTTAGAAGAATTTCATGCCTGCCCCCACAAAGAATTCCTGTGTCTATTCGCAGTCGGTTCTCATTTCCCACCAACCCAGTGAGTTTTCTACCCCCAGCCCTAGGTACTACTAATTTACTTTCTAATTTTGTAGATTTGCAAGTTTTTTTTTTTTGATAAAGGTCTCAATTTGTAACCCTGCCTAGATTGGACTTTAGTAGACTAGGTTAGTTTTGAATTTACAGAAATACATTTGCATCTTATCCGATAGTACTGGGATTCAAGGTGTGCACCACTACACATGGCTAGATTACCCTATTTTGAACATTTCATATAATTGACTCATACAATTCATGCTTGTTTGTGCTCACTTTTTTCACTTGCAAGGTTCATCCATGTTGTATTGACTTCACTGTTTTTGGTTTTTTTTGTTGTTGTTGAATATTCATTCAATAATTGATAGACTTTGGGGAAGTTTCTATACCTTGCCTATAATGAACAATGCTGCTATATGTACTTGTGTGAAATTTTTTATG